CCGTAACGCTTCGCCGACCTTCTCCGTGGGCCTGTGCGCGGGGTGCGGATGGCACTCGAGGTTCAGGCAGGTCTCAGGCCGCCTTGGCTTTGACGTTTCCCTGGGCCCTCTCGTGCTTCCCTGAGTGTGAGTACAGGTTCCCGTCAGCAGAGACACGTGGGGAGCTTATTTACACCCCCTCCTATTGCTCGGTGCATTTGCAGAGGCTTCCTATTAAATCTCCGGCTCATCCACCGCTCACCCCAATTAGGACAACAGCCTCAGGCCAGCAGAGCTTCAGGTTTCCTAGCGCACTTTCTGCCGAATTTGCCGCTTTGCCTGCCAGTGCTGTCGAGCAGGGACTTCTCACTCTCCACTCCGAATCAAGTCTGGCCCTCCTTTCAGCCAAGGTGCCCAATCCCTGTCCTGCTCTGATCAAACGACTGCACCTCCCCAGCTGTTGTTCTTACCTTAAGTTCCATCTCGTGGCCTGGCCGGGTGGCTCAGTTGGTTGGAGCACCATCCTGTGCACCAAAAGGTTGTGGGTTCAATTCCCAGTCAGGGAACATACCTAGGTTGTGGGTTCGATCCTTGGTTGGGGCACATAAAGGAGCCAACCGATCAATGTTTCTCTCTCACATTGATGTTTCTCTTGCTCTCTCTCTCCCTTCCTTTGTCTAAAATTAATTTTAAAAAATCCTCAGATGAGGATTTAAAAAAATAAAAGAACATCTCACAATTTGTTTGCATTTGGTTTATCTCTACAGCCTTGAAAGGGTTTGATTTGGATAATTTAGTCCAGTTTTTACTCTTGTGTTTTGGGAGAGAATATTTGCTGACCTCTTCATAATGTCATAGCTGGAAGTCTCATTTTTGCATATTTTAAAGTTTTTAATACCTGTGGTCAAACTTCTCTCCACCAGCAAGACTTAAAAGCACACGAAGACAGACTTTTACATTTTACATTGGTCCTAGTTATCCAGACCTTGCCTAACACTAGTGGGGTGTCTCAGGTGGTTTCAGTAGTAAAACTCTTGCTCTTTAATGGCAGAATTTAACTGGGAATCTAACTGGCAATCTTTTGGTTCATGGGACAATACTCAACTGAGCCACGAGCGCCAGGGCTAGTTTTAAAGATTTGATAGGTCCAAAATATTACTGGCAATCTGGCCAGAGAAATGCTTTCATTCCTTGTATTGCTTGCCAAAGCTTGTCTCCTCAAGTAGGATCAAAGTGAATGGAATTTGCTCCCTGCCAGCCAGCCGTGATACGACAGGGAGCTGGCTGGGCAGGCTGCAGTGAGGTACATCTTAATGTCCCAGGGTGTGGCATGAGCCCCAATTCACCCCTCCCAACTTCCCCCTTAGGATTAAGCAACACCATTACAAAACAAAAAGATGACAGCAGCAAGCCATGGTCCCAAGGGGGTTCTGAACCCTTCACAATGATCTCCAGCCTCATTCATACTAAGAAAAAAGTTCAGACTGTAAAAATCTTCTTGATCTTGGGCTGGAGTGGACCTAATAAATCAGAATTTCCTAAACCATGCCGGCAGGCTAGGGAGGTTTTTTTTTAGGCTAGGAAGATTTTAAAATAAACTGTCTGTACATTTTGCCCAGGACCTATTTCTCAAACAGCATTATTACAAGATCCCCAGAGAGGTTAAGCAATTTGTCCAAGGAACCCAACCAGTTAAGTGGGAGAGCTGGGATTGGACATTGCAAGCCTTAAACGTGCTCTTAACCATTACATTGTAATTACTGTACCAGAATCAGCCAGTGACCCACAAAGCAACCTCCCTTCATTGTAGGGAGAGGGGTAAGCAGTGTGGTGATAGCATTTTTCTTTCCAACCCTTGTCCTGTACATATACATTATAGTTTTTATTGGTATCATTGTACATACATATAGGTAGCCTACTAATTCACTTAGCACCATATCATTAACATTTTCCCATATAACTTTTCATAGACATGTCTTTTTAAAAAAATTTATCTTTATTGTTGAAAGTATTACATCATAGACATTCCTAATGGCTACATAACCCCCTAGAGGATGCCCCCTTCCTCCCGGATTCCCATCCACTTTCAATGACTCAGAATATTGTTCTGAGCGCTTGGATAACTTTTTTACTGTTTTATTGTGAAATATATAAACAAGTCCAAATAACACCAATGTATAACTTAACAAATAATCATAGCTGAGCTCTCTTACAACCACTTCCCAAGCAAACAGATAAATAAGCCAGCGCCCAGAACCCACTGTTTCCTCCCTCCTCCAAACTTTCACTACATTTTAAAAGGTCAGTGTGTTATGATTTCATCATCTAATGGCCTTGCACCATACTAGAGGAGCAACCTTTGTCCAAGAGGGACAGTTCTTTTTCCTGGGCTTTTGCACATAGCTCAGAGGCATCTGACACCCCCCCCCCCAATTTGTTAAA